CATAAATTTATTTATTTAATAGCTATAGGAAGTATATAATAAGGACTATAAAATATAGCAAGCGGGGGATATTAAATAAATAATATTATAATAATTTTAAAAGGTATTATTTAAATATTAAGAATATATTTTATAATTTATAGTCTAAATTTTTAATATATTACTAACTTTTTAATATGTTTAAGGGTGACCGGCGTTATATTATTTATTAAAATAATTATATTATTTTTTAAGAATAGTAATACTATATTATTTAGGTATTTTTTATATATAAGCTTGCTAATAATAGCTCTTGTGTCTTTGCCATGGTTTACCCTATTTATTATTATATTATTAAAAATAATAATATTCTTGGTTTGCCTATAATAAAGGTGGATATTAATTAATAACATATTATTAGTATTTTAGGCCTTAGTATTAAACCTTAATACTTAATCCTAGTAGCATAAACGCCACTTGCAAAAAATAAGCTAATACTTAAGATTATAAATAATATTATAATTTTTTATAATTAAAAAGTAAAGTTTTTTTAAATTTTTTACTTAATAAATAAAATAATTAGTTTAAATAACACTTAAACTTAATCCTTGGTTAGTATTTAACTTTATATAAATATAAAAATATATATAAAATAAAAAAAAGTTATATATAATAATACACCTAACACCTTTTAAGCTTGCTTTTTTAGGTATTTTACCTTTTTTAATATATATAAGTATTTTATAGGGTTAAGCACCTACCTTATTTTTTTTTTTATTTAACTCCTTTGCTCCGGGAAGTATTTATCTAACTTTATTTTTATAACTATCTTTTTTTTTTAAAAATTAAAAAATTTTAGGCATTTTTTATTATATTTTAATACCCTAGTATTTAGTAAGTATTAAAGTAATATTTTTTTATAATTTCCTCCCTTTTTAATATTATTTTATTAATTATTTTTTAACAGGAGTGTTTTACCGCGCAAGTAGCTGCTTATAGTTTTATTAATTAATACTTATTAAAAAAAAATAATTTCTTATTTTTTAAATATTATTTTTTATCTTTGCCTTTTTATACCTTTCTTTCTTTTTTAAAACTATTATTATTAATTATTTTATAGTACAAGTGTCCTAGCCACGCAGTTAATAATTTTATTAATTAATATATTTTATTTTTAAAACACGCTATATTATTTTTTAAATAAGTCTTTTCTTATTAGCAGTGGCATATTATTTATTAAAACCTTAGTTACTAACCTTAAAATATATTAAAATTAACCTTAATTAATTTTTTTTATCCCGCAGCTATAATACAAGAATAACTTTTTTATTTTATAACTTTTATTTATAACTACTATTTATAACCATTATTTATAACTACTATTTAAACCTTAAAATATAAAATATAGCTATTCAAAACCAGGATCTTATAGGGTTATAATTAATAAAATAATATAATAATATAACCTATAAATATAAAGGGTTAGTTTTACTTTACTAATATAATTAAAATACTAGGCGTACTTTAATTACTTACTAGCTACTTATAACCCTAATTTTAATATTTAGACCATATCCTAACAAGTAAATAAATATAAAAAGTAAATATAATTAATAAGCCTATATTAAATAATAAAGCCTAAAAATATAAAAAGTTAATTTTATTTTATTTATATTAACTTGTAAAGTTATATTAGTAATTTATAAGCCTAATTTTATTAAAATATATTATAGTAAATGGACAAGGGCAGGGAAACCAAAGTAGTATTATATTAATTAAAAAAATCTTATAATATCCTGCTTAAGCTAAACCACTAAAATACTTTTTTTATAAACCATGCCTTAATTAATAAGTAAAATATATTATAATTAAGTCTGTCTAGTCTTTACCTTAATATATAGTTATATATTAATAACATGTTAAAGTATATATAAGTTACCTTTGGAATATAACTTTTAACTAGTATAGCCTAAACTTAAAAAAAGTTTTTTTATTTTTTAATTATTATTAAACTTTGCTAATAGTCTTGCAATTAACTTTTTAAAAATTTATAAAAATATTTAAAGTAGGAACCTAATCCCTATACTTAGCTAAATATTAAAAGTTAATAAATATAAAGCAAGTATATTATTTTAATATTACTATTATTAAATAATAAAATAATGTTATATTAACGCGGGAAGCTATTTATTAAAAACAAGTATATTAGGAATAATGCTTTTAAGTAAATTAAAGATAATTAAAAATAATTAAAAAATAAAAATAGGTATATTAAATACACCAGGAATATTTAATTTATAAATATATTAAAAATATACTACTGCTATACTAAAACTATCCTATTATTATATTAAAAACGCCCCTTAATTTTTTTTATTTTTATAATTAAAAATTTTATTACTAGTATTAAGCTAAAAGCTTAATAAAACCTTTTTTTACTAAGTAAAAAGTTATTTACTACCAAGTATAAAGTATGTGCTAAGCTATTAATTATATTACTAGTAAGTAACCCTACATGCAAAAATAAGTTAATTTTTAAAAATTAACTAGTATTAAATTTAGCTTTACCTTTTTTATTAAGTATAAACTTTTTTTATTACCTTTTTATAATTTGGTAAAATGTAACCATGGTAAAAATAATAAAGTATTTTTAAATTTAAAACTTTTAAAATCCTAAACCTAGGGTGCCCTAAAAATTTTTAAAACTTGCTTTTTTTTTATTACATGCTATTAATTTTAAAGGTTTTACAAGCGTGATATTATAACTTTATATTATTTAATAACTAGCTAATTTAAAAACTAAGGTTATATTATAGTGTTATTATAATTATTATAAAGGCAAGATTAGCTAATAAACATGGTAGTAAAATTAATATATAGTAGTAAAATATACAAGCTCCTGTTAATATTACCATTAATAAGTATATTTTAGTTAGTATAATAATTAACTAATATTTTTAATAGTTATACCTCCCATGTATTAAGTAATTTATTAATATTTTAGTTAATATCTCCCGTGTATTTACCCTTTTGCTAATATTATTAATAATAACCTTATATATCCCGGAATAAACCCTATATATTAAAAATAAGGATTTTTAGTATCCTAATATTTTTAATACTTTAAATATTTTTTATATCCCGTAGAAAATTATATATTTTAGGGAATTTTATTATATTATCTTGCGCTTGGATATTTTAACTACCTAGTATATATTATTAAGGCTAATATATATATAGCTATTAAAGCGCTTTGTTATATATTTAGGTTTAATATATTTTAAATTATTAATTCCTATTAATACTTAATATATTTAAATATAACCCTTAAAGGCGCCTTACCTTTAATAATATTTTTTATATATATAATATATATTTTTGCAATTTGTTTTATTATTTAACATATTTTTATTTTTAATATATTTTAATACTTAATATGCCTTACTTTTTTATTATATATTAATTTTTTTAGTATGCCTTGTGGTTTTAATACGCCTTTTTATTATTAGTTAAATTTATATATTTTATAAAGTGTTAATTTTACGCCAGGAACTTACTTATTATATAGTACTTAAGTTATTAATATATTACTAGTGTAATATATAATTATATTTTCCCTATATTAAAATTTTAAAATGTCTTACTTTAAGCCCTAACTTAATTAATTAAACTAATTTTACAGCCTACTACTAGTCCACCGTCCGCTATATTAGTGTGTAAATTAAGGCCGGAGAAATTAGGATATATTTAATACTAAATTACTAAATAGTTTTATTTAATTATAAAGTAAAATATCTTATTTTAAGCCTTAACTTAATTAAACTAACTTTATACTAGTTTACTATATCTAAATGCACTAATATAAATTAGGAATTCTAAATTTAAAATATACTTATTATGCTAAATTACTAATTAGTCCTATTTAGCTAAAATATCTTATTTTAAGCCCTAAATAACTATAACTAAGTAACTAAATTTTTAAGCTAATTAACTACACTCCTAAATAACTATACTTTTAAATAACTATACTTTTAAGTAACTATATTCCCAAGTAACTACACTTTTAAATAACTATACTTTTAAAACTATATTTCTAAGTAACTATACTTTTAAATAACTATACTTTTAAGTAACTATATTCCCAAGTAACTATACTTTTAAAACTATATTTTTAAGTAATTATATTTTTAAGTAACTATATTTTTAAGTAACTATATTTTTAAGTAACTATATTCCCAAGCTAAGTAACTATAACTAAGTAACTAAATTCCCAAGCCTTTAACCCTTTAAACCCCTAAGTATTTAACTTTTTAGGTTTAAGGTATATTAGCTACATGTAAATCCTAATATTAGCTAAATATATAAAATCCAAAGCTACTTAGCTAATTTTATTAACTTAGTAAATATATTTAGGTATTATTTACCTAGTTATTTACCTAGTTATARGTAAGTTTTTTATATATTAGCTTTATATTACCCTATATATATATTAATTTAATTAAAAATAAACTATACTTATGCTTAATTTATATAATATTTTTTTCTTAATATATATTATAAATAATATATTTTAGTTTATATTTTATATATTTATAATAATATATATTAAAATATTAAATATATACTTAACTATTTAATATATGCTTGTTATATATTAATAAATATATATATTTTTAAAAATAAAGTATATTTTCTAATAAAATATATAATTAAATTATATATATATATTTTTTTAAATATATATTAACTATATTTTATAAAAATTAATATACATGCGGCATAATATATTTTTATTTTTTTTAATATATATTCACGCTATTAATATATATTTTACTTTAATATATATTTATAATATTAATATACATTACTTTAAATATAACTTTTTAATTATATTAAACATTAATAGATATTATAATAAATATAATACTAGTCTTAAACCATTACTATACTTAATACCCCCCCTGCGGACTGACGGGCATGCGTGGCTAGGGCATCCAACACGGCGACAACACCAGGACCTGATGCTAAAGGTGCACGCGGAACAGAGCGCCATCGCCAATTCCTCGTTTAGTTTGCTTTCTCGCATCCAGGCCATGCTCTTATATGCGTTCCATGCGCTCCATGGAGAGAGTACGTCGCGGGTCGTCCACATCGTGGGCGTCGTCATGCGCTTTGCAATCGCACACCGATTCCACTGTATACGCCACGATGGCACCCATGAAACAGAGATGAAGATCAAAGCGTGGTGGTGCATATACATGTACGCCTCACTAAGCCATGAATCACTTACTTCCATCTCTACTGCCGCTGCTAGGCTCGACAAAGTCGTCACCATAACGCTGCGCATCCCACCCTACCCACCAGCCGAGTGGATCGAGACGCCACCGTACGAAAACAAGCCCGAGCCCCAGTATTTCGCGCCCTGGGCGTCGTCGCGCATTGCCGGGGACGCAGAGGGCGCGTTGTACAGTTTCGACCTGCGCTATTTCGTCCACATGTCCAAGATCCGCCAGATCCAATCGGAGATCTTGAGCAATACGCGGAAACTGGCCGCTGCTTCTGTACCGCGGTATCTCAAAGAGATGGGGGCCGAGATTGACAGGTGGGCGGAGAGTGATAGGGTCTTTGCCAATGGGTATGCTTCCTCCACCTGCATCTTCGTACTGGCTCGTTTATTCCCCTTGGTTCCTGACAAGCTGGACAGGGAAACCCACCTAAACAGTGGGACCCAGTCCCAAGGCCAGGGCCAGGGCCATGCAAGTCCCCTGGGCAAGGTGTACGTCGCGCACATGACGCGCGTCGTGCTATACAGCTCTGTGCCGTTCGGCACGGCATCGCATACCGCGGACGAGCTGCTCCAATCCTGCTGTGCCTCGTGCGCTACATTCAGAGCTCTGCAGAAACGAAGACAGATCCCGAAGCACTGGTTCGATGTAGGTTGCATCCAGAGTCCAAAACAGGTCCATCCAAATACTTACCATGGTAAAGATGCTCTTCCTCTTCCAGGTCGGGGTCACGATGCTGTATCTTGTCTGGCAGCGGGCCGTGCCTATATCGCGAGCGCTCGATCGTGCAGTGAGAGACTATACAGTGATCCTCTCGATCTTTGCGGATCGGTCGCAGCATGCGGATGTTTATCGGGACTGTATGGATGTTCTGGCGAGTGGTGTGTTAAGAGCCTCGCCGGCTGGGAATATCGATGCGGAGTTGAGGCGCGATCTTGCGTTCTTGGTGTGTCAGATTGAGGAGAATGGGCTTGCCTCTCGGACTTTTACCATGTTGGAGGAAATGTGCAGGGGTGGGAATGTACCTGAGGGTGGTGATAAATAATGTTCTCAAGAAAAGGGGNCTTGGGGCTTAGAGTTTGCTGTTGATGGCATTGCAGGTGCTAGTTCGTTGATATTGTGTCCGTGACTGTTTGAGGCTCGGTATGTACATGTTTTCAGGACTTTGTCTGCGTACAAGTATGGCAGCAAATATTCCAGCAAGTCTGGCAAAACTTGAAACGGTTAGAGTGAATTACTCCAGCTGCTATCAACATGAACCTGAGAGGGCCAAGCTATTACAGTCATCTGAGACTCCAAGGTGCGAGGCCACCCAGACGCCGATGCAGGTGAAGAGGAGGGCGTGCCATTTTCAAACTGAAAACCCCCTTCATGCAGTTAATAGGACAGCAGACGTGTGAAACATCCCCCTATACCGGCAGAGACCGAATTCAATGGCGTGGGGACTGCGGTCTGCACACCCAACACAGGGCCGGCACAGCTGTTATATCAATGTCAAGTACATACATACCTTCTGGATGGACATGAGGGTTTGCAGGGTACCATGGTAATGCAGATGCCACTCAGCCATCCCGGATGGCTTAGGGCTTGTGTAAGTGCTATTGAATCTAACCTTGTTAACAGCCCTTGAAAGACATGCAGAGTCCCAGGCCGCCGATAACAGCAAGTCTTGTGTTGGCTGGCAACAAGACGCGGTAGCGGTATCCCACAACAGAGAATGCAGAGAAGCCCGAAGTAAGGTGGCTTGGCCAACTGCAAGGTGTGACACTGGCTGGGCACTGTTACCTTCGGCGGGCGCTCAGTCGGAGACAAGCGGCGCGATTCCTGGTTCCATTTTAGATGGGAGATTCCACTCGGCACCGGGGTCTCAGTTTGAGCTGGAAGTACGGCTCCATGGATGGTGGCTCGCACATACTCGCACATACTGGTTTCGCACATACTGGTTTCGTTAGCCATCAGAGTGGCCTTTCGCTTTCTCCAGCGTAGCTTTTGAGGCTAAACCGGCACTAATGATTTAGCATTGTCGTTGCAGTGCCTCTTATCCTTCAACAACCGACCTCGGCCTCCTATCTAGTTCAAAGCTGTTGTCCACTAGGTAGTGAACTTAAGCCTCCGGGGACTCTGGGGTCCCCGGGCCCCGGGCTCTAGCTGGCCATGGGGGTTGTGGTTGTTATTGAAATGATGCAGCCATGTCAGTCAAGCTCGCAAGTTTGGTGTTGACGCTTTAGTAGTAGATTTCTAAATCAGACGTCGGCGACCTAAATATAGGTAGCAATGCACATTCACTTCTGTCTCGGAGACAGACTTGTTATTCAGATTATGGCTAGGAACTGAATCGGTCGCCGAGAGGAGTATCACTGCTTCATCGATGAGATATAGCGTTTGACCCCGTCCATTCGGGAGGTTGAATACTGCTCCATGAAGTATAAGTAGGCCAGCAAGAGCCCTTGGAATCGATACCTTCTTCATCCAAGCCCGACCAGACTACTTTACTCTCATTCAACCCCAGTCTACCACCAGTCACCAGTCCAAGATGCGCTTCAGCCTCGCCGCCCTCGCCGCCCTCGTGGCCAGCGCCACAGCCTTCCAAGTCGACCCTCCCTTGAGTGCCCCATTCAACCTCAACGTCGACCAGACCGTTACTTTCGCGTACGCATACTTCCATCTAGGAGAAGTCGTAAAGATACAACCGCTAACCACAAATAGCCCGGCGGGTGACACGCGCGGCGTCGAGACCGTCTACCTCTACCTCACCAACTGGAACCAGTACTTCCCCGAGGGCAGCCGGCCATGCGTCTATCTCGGCTCTGCCCAAAGGAATGCTGGCTCTTTGATGATCCCGGCGCGCACCGCCCGCGGTGTTGTTCCGTATCAGGGGTATGTACCCTACTTCAAGATCCTTCTCTATCTTGCACAGCACTGATGTATGCTTTTATCCTTTCAGCTCCGGATACCAGATTCGTCTGTACTCGCCCAACCAGGCTGGGTGTGGCGATGGGTTCCTCGCCCAGAGTGGTGCTTTTGAGGCGATCCCCTATAACAACCCGTAGAAATGCTATTGCTTTCTCTTGATAGGGGCATGCTGTGGTTGCCAAAGCGGTAGGATTCCTGTGTTGCATGTGACCATTTTCAACATGGGCAAAAGCATATAAACTTGTTCCTGGTCGATATTCATTGTCTTGCTGCCTCGGCTTAGGTTTTCCCTGGACAGATCAGGTTTCCCTAGGCTGTTATGCAAATGCAGGGGCGTCTTTTCTTTGTTTGTCGAGATAGTCGTCACTTCTAAAAGTCCAATGCAAATCTGATGTTTCTTTAGTGTTCTTTATACTTTCTCTTTCTTGGCTTAAGGTACATAGACTGCGAAACCGTCTGTTGTAGGGTTGATATACGTAGGTCCGCGATAGACCAACCTTAGGAGCATTGTTATGGATCACTCAATCCTTCTGCCCCAATCCATTGTTGTTCTGCCCTGTTTAGCGGATGACTTGGAACTTGCCTGAGGAAACTCGACTGTGTTAGGGTTACGGTATAAGGTTGCGTGGAACCCTTGGCCCAATTCTGGGACCCTGTGATAATGCGGCGAAATTGCTCGCTCGCTAGTTTTCATCGCTCATTAATTATCCTTTCATGTCTTTAGTAGAGAATCTTAGTGCACCTGCCTCTAGATGCTCCATTGGCCGTGCGATCCGCCCCTAGCAGGAATCCCATAACGGTGCCCTGTCCTGCCTCAGAGCAGGTTCCTGGCAAGACACTTGCTTATATACTTAAGATACCCTAGGTAGAGTTGCACTACATCGAACTCATGTTCGTGAACCATATAGTACCTTGCGATCTCTTCCTCAACCATCCATTCTAAAACCCAACTCCAAAATGAGGCCCATCCCAATCCTCTCCTCCCTATTCCTCTCAGCCCTCGCAAACAAACGAATCATCGGCGGCGACGAAATCGACATCAAACAAGCCCCCTACCACGTCGCGCTCTTTGCATACGGCGACTTCGCAGGCAGCGGCACCATCATCAACCACAACACCATCATAACAGCTGCCCACTGCATCTCCGGCCCACCACCAGCCGACATAACCGTCCGCGCGGGATCATCGAGCTATCTGTCCGGTGGAACTTTACTCAATGTCACCAAGATCACAAAACACCCGTCATACAACCAGCCGATCGTACTCGAGAACGACATCGCCATCATGACGCTCGCTGAGAATCTCACGTTCGGCGATACCATCCAGCCGTTGGGCCTACCTGCATACGCGCGCGGGTCTCCCGGCTTTTCGAACGCCGGCGAACAGGTTTTCATCTCTGGCTGGGGCGATACGATCACAAGCGGGACGCTGCAGACGCAGCTCCGGGCTGTTACGGTGGACATCCTGGATCAGACGGAGTGTAAGGCGCGGTACGAGGACTACGTTATACCGGTTACGGATGGCATGTTCTGTAATGGGGTCCCCGGGGGCGGGAGGGGGCCTTGTAAGGGGGATAGTGGCGGGCCGGTGGTGTGGGATG